TTTTGGAGATTTTTGCCACTGCATGGGCGACCATTACCATGCTCATGCACATGGCTAATTTGAACCGAGGAAAAACTCTGAAACTTTGCCTTGATATCAAAAACCAAAGCTTGAATTTCAATAGGGCAATTCTCCTCCTTCATTATAGCTGAGTATACTACCATCAAATCCGCATCCAACCATACATTTGAAAATTGGATATGTTCAAGTGTATATATGTGTACATAATGAGAAGAAAAGAAAAAAGATTATGAATGAGATGATATATATATATATATATATACACATATATATTCATGATGGATCTATATATATACTAATAGGTGGCTGGGCAAGTGCACCAGATGATCCTTATGCATGGGGATACTGCTTCATTCAGGAACAAGGCAATCCACCAGATTATTGCGTTGCAAACAATCAATGGCCATGTGCTCCTGGTAAAAAATACTTTGGTCGTGGCCCCATCCAAATTTCATAGTAAGAACTCCTCTCTCCATTTATTTATTTGCAGAAAGCATGAATTTTTTATTTAATTGGTTCTAAATATGTTGATTCAAAATTTTAAGTATCATATTTAAAAATAAAATTCAATTGGAAAATGATTTTCAAAATTAATAGTATTAGCCCAATAGCCTGACCAAATCATAACTTATAATTTGAGGAGATATTGAGTGAGTCAAGCATTCCACATAATTAATTGGCATTGCCCAATTCAATCTTGTTCTAATTGGAAGTTCATATAATCACCTAGTTAATTGGTAGAATATGAAACTTGGCATGAGAGAAAAAAGAATACTTGTTCATTTTTTGAGTAATAGAGAAGTAGGGACAGACCTACATGTATGTGAGGGGGGCAATTGCGGTACCTGAATTTCCTTTTTAGTAATTTACCCATGTTAATTTGCCTTTATATACTCATAAAATATTACTATTGTCTTTCTAAAAATACTAAAAATTTTCATTATTGCCCTTCTTGCGTAATTTTTTAAATCCTTCAAGAAGCATTTAATTTATGTTGACCAAGTTATTGACTCTGATCACGACTTGGCAACAACTACAACTATGGTCTAGCAAGAAAAGCCATAGGGTCTGATTTGTTAAACAATCCGAACTTAGTTGCAACAAACCCAACCATATCATTCAAGACTGCACTCTGATTCTGGATGACACCACAGTTACCAAAGCCGTCGTGCCATGATGTCATCACCGGAAAATGGACACCTTCTGCTACAGACAATGCCGCGGGTAGGGTACCGGGCTATGAAGTCATCACCAACATCATCAATGGTGGAATCGAATACGGAAAAGGCACGAATGCACAAGTGCAGGACCGTATTCTACAAGAGGTACTGCGACCTATTGGGAGTGGGCTATGGACTGCTACAACCACCTTTTGCTTAGGCATTTGATCATTAACAGTTCCAGTTAATTACTAGTCACTTTATATATATATATATAATAATAATAATAATAAATCAAAGTTGATTACTGAATGTATGTTGTGGCTTGAAGAATAATCAATCAACTTTTTTGCATCTCTATGATAGGGAGTTAATATATATGTTTTAATCAATGATATTTTTAGTTTCTTGTTTTTACGTGGATTGGATACTTACTGATTAAAACTGTGTATTTTTTTTTATTTTTATTTTTATCATAAATTGGATTAATCTATCCTATGGCATAATAGATTGGGACATCCGGACATATCTCTCTTAATAGACTTGAATGCTTGGTTAACGATGGAATCGTTTGACCACTAGAACTTTTCGGATTTTGAAACTTTACGTGTTGTATTTGATAAGTGTTAATAAATGAAAGGATAAAGTTCAAAAAACTCCCTAAATTATTGTCTTTTTATAAATAACTCTCAGAACTAAAAACTACTCTCTCAATTATTAATTTATTACAATTAAGGATAAATTCATCATAAAAGATTATTTTGCTTTTTCTCATTAAAAATTTTATTTCTTATTAAATTATTTTTATTATTTTTTGTCTTATGTAAATATTAATTATACTATATACCTTAATTTTATTATTAGTATCAATTTATCATTAAAAAAAAATAGATAAATAGGTTTGTAACTACCATTTTCTAAATTGATTAACTTATTAACGTATTATAACAAATTTAAATATTTTTATCTTAAAAATATATCTTTTTTTCATATAATATATTAATGATAAATTAATAAAATACTTTTTAAAAAATACCTTCTTTTTATGTAATATATTCATTAAATATTTTACAATTTTAAAAGTAAATTTATGCAAATTTAATAAAAAAAATATCATCAAATTAGTATAAAAATTTAATGAAAAATATCCCAGCTTAATAGAAGTCTATGAAGTTAAGTTCAGGCCCAAAGTTTAGTATTAGAATATGGGTACTAGAATCCTCTTACTCAACTGGCACATCTCTCCGGGTTAGCTTGTTGTCTGCGGCATTCTAAAACAGACCTAACAATAGCCCAGAGGACCACATATATTTTGACTCTCTAGCCCATCTTATTGAACAGTACTCTTGATTTTAACTCAAGTGAAGCCCAACTCAATTAGTCAACATGTACAATATGGATATCTCGACTCTGGCCCATCTTATTGAACACTGATCTGGATAATTGACTTAAGTTAAGGACCAACTCAATTACACAACAAATAAAAGGACAACGTTCATGAAATTGCCGAGATTTCATTAGGAGGAAGAGCAAAATAAAATTACACAAAAATTTTAAATTTCTGGATTTGAAAATACAATAAGTGGTTGAAAGTGCAATAAATTACTCTCTATATTAAGAAAGCAAATCTGTTACACTTCAATTGAATCTCCTTATATTTTTTTATCCTCTTTCTATTTATAGAGGTCTATCCTTACCCTAATAAGTTCTTGGCCTTTCTATTCCCCAAGATAATAATGGGCCTAGTCCTTCTTTGATGGGCTCCACTCTATTTGGGTTGTTCCCTAGGTCAAAGCAAGCCTTGCACTAGAATGAATAGACTGGGAAGTCGCTCGGCCCCTTACTTAATAAATGGGCTGGGCTGAAAGTAGCCCAATGGAATTTTATGCCCTTTTATCTCTCTCATTTATGAGAGCGATATTAACGATGGAGCGTCATGATTGATGTGATGGCTCAAAACAATGACGTGGTGTATACGGATGATTTGCACAGATGATGAAGAAGAAGATCGGTTTAGAGGTTCTCATGATCTCATTCCAAAAACGAAAAGAAAAGAAAGAATAGTGCTAATATTAAGAAAAGAAGAAATAGGGGATTCATGCAAATAAATGCATGTGATTGGTACTCCATTGTGTCTATAAATTAGAAAGTGTAACCCCACTCAATCGATCATTGCTGAGCCAACATGAAACCATGCTCAAATAGCATTCTTCTTCTCCTTTTATTTATTTATTTATTTATTTTTCTTATTTTTATTTGAGGCCATTATTCAATTCTTGCCAATATCTCTTACAAACTATGACGTCACAATTGTTTGAACAACATTTCTGTGTGCTTTTATATATCAATATTAAAACAAGTGTCTTCGTAAATAACTAAAGAGTGTATTGGGGATAAGATATAAAGCTAAATCAAGGTCACAAGTTTTTCTTAGATATCTATCTAAAATAGACATGGCACTGCGGTTTTTAGTCAAGTTTAATTTATGGAGGAGATTTACAAACTCCACTTTTAATATAAAATTATACCAGAGTTGTAAGCTTTTGGTAAATTTCTTTCAATATTTAGGCTTTGTTTGTTTGAATGTAAAAAAATATTATTTATTTTTTGGTATTTTGTTGTTGTAAAATATTTATGAAGAAAAAAAAATATTAAAATTTCACAAAAATAACTTATTCATTAATTTTTAGCAAGTTATATTTTATATGTCCCTCTCGATTAACTTGACCTTAACCTTGATATAAACCTTTGCAAAATATCGAAAAAGTAAAAACAAAATAATATTTTACTTAAAAAAGTAAAATATTATATCAAAACAAACAGAGCCTTATTCCAAATCGACCAAGTGAATTTTTTAGTTATGTAACACCAAATTTTAATAGAATAAAGACAAAATGGTACTTAGTATTGAAAATTTTGAACACACAAACTTATGAGGTGCCGAACATCAATGATTCTCAACCCTAATGATCGTTCGGTAGGAAGAAAAAAAATTAAATGGAAGGGATGACGGAGACGTTCTTAGGAAAGAGATCAAGTGTTTTCCTATTTTTGTTCGGTTGAATCGAAGAAAACGAAAAAAACTAAAAATTTAATTTGATAGGTATAATAAAAGAAAAGATAAATTTTTAAGTTATTTTTATTATTAAATCCATCACTACTTTATTTATGAAATTTATTAAATATTTATGAAAAGTGATATAGTAATTTAAAATTTCTATAATAAACTCATTTGTATTTTTTCTCATCTTCAACCCATATATAAACGAATAAAAATTTATCATTTCTACAAAATAACAAAAATTTTTATTCCCTTCTTATTTTTTTCTTTACCTCTTCTTCTTTTCTTCCGACCCAACATAGCAAAAGGATTGTTTGGGTAGGACTTAAGGACTTTGAGTTAGACAATTAGCTCAGAAATTCCGAATAAAGAGACACCACTGTTGACAATTCTACATCAATCAAAGCATTGAGACGCAGCTTCTAGACATTGTCTTCCTTATCAATTTGGCCCTTTAATACACGCGTCACTAAAATGACGAGGGGTTTTACCATTCAACACACACACACACGGTGACACAACACACAAAAACATTATCTTCCAGCTGCCTACAGTTTCAAAAGTACCACACCTTTGAGTTGTCCACTAATATCACTACAAAACATTCTGGTCATCATCCAAAACTCACTTTTCTCTCCTGTTTTTTTTCTTTCTTATCATTCAAAAATTCAAAATCAAAATACTTTTTAACACTTGAGGTTCTGAGACACAAAACTGGACACAGTATGTATTACCACATGGTTACATGCACACATAGACAAAGAATTGTAAAAGCCGCCATGCACACACAAAAAACTGGACACAGTATGTATTACCACAACATGGTTACACGTACACAAAGAATTGTAAATTAAAGCCGCCATACATGACCACGTACATCCCTACTTCATTTTTCTGAGAGTTATCACAACAGCAATGTTCTTCGTTCACTGCTTATAAATACCAATCTATCCTTCTCTATAAGCTCACAAGCTTGAGTGAGAAAATAAGACAGAAAAGAAAAGAAAAGAAAATGAGGTATTTTGCAGTACTAGTTGTGTTCTCTCTTTTCTTCATGGTAATGTCCTTGCAGGCACAAGGACAGCGTGTTGGTTCTATTGTTAGCAAAGCACTGTTTGATCAGATGTTGAAGCACCGCAACGACGGCAACTGCCCCGCCAAGGGTTTCTACACCTACGAGGCTTTCATAGCTGCTGCCAATTCCTTTGAAGGTTTTGGAACAACCGGAGACGCCGCTAGAGAGATTGCAGCCTTCTTGGCTCAAACTTCACATGAAATTACAGGTATTAATCTTCTTAATTTGCTTTGTAAAAAAGTCTAGTATTCAGGATAATTAGTTTAAATCACAACCCTTAATTAGTTGTTTAATATCATTAAGATCACTAAGGTCTCGTACATTTTTTTTGTTTGTTTGTTACATACACGTACATATATAGAGCCTAGCTAATTGCTTTTTCTGCAGGTGGAAGTGGGTGGCCTGGTGCACCAGATGGTCCATATGCGTGGGGATATTGCTTCGTCCGGGAAAGAAACGAACCGGACTATCACTGTGACTCGAGGAAGGGGCCATGCCCTCCCGGTAAAAAGTACTTTGGCCGAGGACCCATCCAACTCACTCAGTAAGTTTTTGATTTCTCTAGCCTGCATGAACCTAGTTCCACAATGATGGTCATTTTGTTTTGATTCTGAACTCGACCTCAGCTCGTTTATTTAATGAACAAGTCTGAACCAAATCAATCTGAACTGTTTTTTACATCTCAGTTCATTTCTATCCCTACTTGTGAAGATTGACTTTGACCATTGCTTTCTTGATTTTTGTTTCAGCAACTACAACTATGACAAAGCTGGTAAAGCCATCAAGGCGGATCTCATAAACAACCCGGATCTGGTAGCCACAGACCCGATTATATCATTCAAGACTGCCATTTGGTATTGGATGACTCCACAGTATAACAAGCCCTCGAGTCACGATGTCATCACCGGAATATGGAAACCGTCGGATGCGGATAGGTCAGCTAGTCGGGTCCCGGGTTACGGTGTGATCACTAACATAATCAATGGTGGGTTGGAGTGTGGCAAAGGTCCAAATGATGAGGTGGCGGATCGGATTGGATTTTACAAGAGGTACTGTGACATACTGAGCTTGACCCATGGCAACAACTTGGATTGCTACAATCAAAAGCCTTTTGGGCCATAAATAGCTCATATGTAAAAGAATTAGATTACAAGAATATTAGTTATGTCTAGCTAAGTAAAATAAAGGGATAGATAGACCATGCTATGTAACTCTATCCAAATAAAGAGAATTTTAGAAGTACTTATTGTATTCTCAGTTTGAGAATTTGTAGTTATTGTATTCTCAGTTTGAGAATTTTTAGTTTTTCTGTATAATTTTGTTTCTCTTCATCAGGGTGAAATTTAGATTACTTAAATTTGTCTATTTACTTTGTTTCTATTTATTTATTTATTTTTGTTACTTTCTCCCAACAACAACTAACTATAGAATTTTATATTCCCAACAAATCCAGCTTGGAGGTTAATATTGTGGTGCTTGTGTGAATGATTCTTGTATCTTACTTTCCTCATTTGTATCTGAACTATTGGTGCTCTAAGCGGACACCACTTTCGTGGACAAATATATATGCATAAATTAACTAGATAAAAATTCATGAGTGTTAAGATTGAGAGAAGACCAAATATAATAATGAGGCCATACCTTTTGTCCAATATCCCCACATCATGAACTAGAAAACCAGAATTAATTATGGAAACAAATAAGGAGTTCCTTTTTGTATTGAACTTTAAGTAAACTAGGTTCAGAAACAAAAACCAGATTTGAAAAGATAATTCCTAATATATAGGGTGTTAAATCCATTTTGGATGTAAATAACTCAATTCAACATTTAATTGAAGAACAAATTAAGCATTTATCAAATTTATTACTAAATGTTGAGCACTTAATTTTTATTTTTTAATTTTTAAAATATTAAAAAATATTTAAGAACTTGAGCACTTAATTTTTATTTTTTATTTTTATTGCAAGAACACTTCAAATTCAGCTCTCAAAATCAATAATTATTGTTAAATGATTTACTTCTTAAAAATTTCAGTACTTAACTTTCAGATTACCTAAATTTATAATTCAGAATGGTTAAAAATGAGAAAAACTAAGCCAAACTTAAAGTCAGAATGGGCTCATCCAAATGGGACAAAACTAAATCAAACTGGAGCTTCAAAGGTCTTCGGGTCAGGGCATCCATATTGTACATGTTGTCTAATTGAGTTGTGCTTAACATGAGTCAAAATCCAGAGTAGTGTTCAACAAGATGGGCCATGGAGTCAAATATTTGTGGTCCACTGGGTTGTTAGGCCGGTTTTGGATAACCCAGTTCAGATGGGCCACCATGAGAGAATTATAGTATATACCCATATTCTATAATAAACTTTGTGCCTGAACTTAACTGCATATAGTATATTAAGTTGGGATAGCTTTGTTTTATAATAATGCTAGTTTTGTTACATAAAATCATTACAATTTTCTTACTTACACATATAATATAGTGAATAGAGATTAGAAAAGAAGAAAATAGTGGGATCCATGCAAATTATTATTATTATTATTATTATTATTATTTTCGGTAAGTAAAAAAATCAAATTATTACAGGTGATTGTTACTCTCTTCCGTATCTAATAAATTTGTGAGATTTATTAGTAAAGAGTAATGATAAGCTAGTCGAAATGGCCAGCGGAGGAGATCGAGTCGAAGGTCTCTTTATATCCACTTTTATTATTGATGTGGGGGGCTCATTATGCTCATATCATTTTTCATTAAATAAAAATTTGGGATGTGAAGAGTTAGGGAAGATGAATTCGAATTTGAGTCAATTACTTTACATATAATAACAAAAGTTATGTATATGTAAAGGAACTTATTGCCTGGTGCACCTTGTTTGTTTTTGGGGAGCTGTGTGTCTTGAAGTAGATTAGTCTACAAAGATACTTCTCTGAAAAAACAAAAGAAAAAGTAAATTATAGCTAATAATGAGACTTACAAAGAATTGAAATATACATGCTTGTAAACTATGAGTTATGTAAGGCTTAAAGCTTTCCTTTTTATAATTTTTTAATTAAAGGTGTGCATTATCATTATTAAAACCAATTGTCTTGATAAAGATATGTATAACAGAATAGGCTTAAGGAGGCTGAGTGTTCAAGTTCTACTAAGAATATGTGGATAATGAGTGTGCATTTGCTTTAGCTGTACTTTATATAAAAAAAAAAATAAAAAAAATAACAGAAAAAAAAAAAGGAAAGAAAGATCACAACTGAAGTGTATTGGGGATACGATCGATATAGGGTCATTTTCTTGGATTTCTTCCAACACTAATCCAAAATAGTCACGCCACTGAGGGTTTTAGTCAAGTTTTATTGAGGATATCCACAAAATGCTCCACTTGGAAGGACGCAAATTTCCAAAATAGACACGCCACTGAGGGTTTTAGTCAAGTTTTATGGAGGATATCCACAAACTGCTCCACTTGGAAGGACGCATATTTTTTCTTAGTCTTCTTTCAAACACTTATACCACATAGATAAATAATACAAAATTTATATGGGATAAAAGTAAGGATGGTAATGATAGATGGGACCGAGACTGTTAGTCAAGTGTTATGAAGATTTCACAAACCAAAAACTATGTTCACATACATGTTTTAACGTGTTCATTGATTTAGTACAATTTGAAATATTCAATTTTTTTAAATTTTATTTTTGGTGACAAACATAACGTGTAATTGCAAATTCCACCAAGTATAAAATGACAGAGAAAATTACATTGACATACATAGTTTAACATATCCCTTCATCTAGTAAAATTTACTGCAACCCTTTGTTAATATGACTTGTAGTAAAGTCACCGCAATTACGGAAAAATAATTACACCCACCCTATGTATATATTTGGGTAGGTATTCTCCCATTAGTCATATTTTTCTTCAACATGCATATATATATATATATATATATATATATATAATTAGTACTCACATACATATACCTATTAAGTTTAAACATTTAACTTTCTTTTGAGAAATAAAGATTTAATATTGCTCCACTACTCACTCACTCATGCATATATTTTTTCGGTATGTGCACACTTATCATTTCTAGGCCAAAATGAAAGGATTCTCCATCTAATAAAGGGTCCTGCATATACTTTTTCGGTATGTGCACAGATTATTCCGCAGTAATCTAATTGAAAGAGTGCAACTTCAAAAAAATAAAATAAAAATAAAAAAATAAAAGATGGCCTCTGTTGACCATTCTACGTCAATCTGATTTGATGGAAGTCTTGAGACGCAGCCTCTGGACATTGTTTTCCATACCATTTTGGCCTCTCATACAGGTGTCACTAAAATGTGATGGGGTTTTACCATTCAACCCCCCCACCCCCAAAAAAAACAACCTTATCTTCCTGGTATTCACGTCGAGCTCCCGCAATTATCTCCTCTAATGTCACTAGAAGCAATGCAGTCAAGATCAAAAGTCACTTCTCTCTCCTCTTTTTTCTTATGATTCAAGCAAATCACACGACTTGTAAAAGCCACCATGCATGATGACCACATCCTAGTTGATTTTTTCTCAGAATTATCACCAGAGCAATCTTCATTCACTCCCCATAAATACCCATCTCTCTTCCACCATAACCTCACAAACTTTGAGTGAAAAGAAAAGTAAAGAAAATGAGGTCTCTTGGAGTACTAGTTTTGTTCTCTCTTTTCTTCATGGTAATGTCCTTGGCACAAGGACAGAATGTTGGATCTCTTGTTAGCAAAGCGCTGTTTGATCAGATGTTGAAGCACCGCAACGACGCCAACTGCCCCGGCAAGGGTTTCTACACCTACGAGGCTTTCATAGCTGCTGCCAATTCCTTTGGAGGTTTCGGGACAACCGGAGACACCCCTACTCGTAAAAGAGAGATTGCAGCCTTCTTGGCTCAAACTTCACATGAAACTACAGGTATAATCTTTCTTTGCTCTATAAAATGTCTTGTACTCTTAACAATTATCCATCATTATAAGTGGCAGTATTATCATAAATATGACTAATACTAGCTACCGATAATGTAAAGCAAAAAAAAGTACCATGTGTGGTGCTTATTGTCTAGTTCGTGTGGTATGTTCTCGTCCCTCCTCTTTATGATGTTGAGAGTTGGAGTTGGGATCCTCACTGATACAACATACACACTGTACTGCATCGGATGGAGTACAATTGAGATCCATGGGATGTAGTACAACACGCATATTGTAATGCAAAGGATCCATAAGAAAAATGTCTCACCCTTGCTTCTTGAATATGTTCAAGTATATATATATATGTGTGTACAGAATGAGAAGAAAAGAAAAAAAATTATGAGTGAGATGATATATATATATATTCATGATGGATCTATATATATACTATATAGGTGGGTGGGCAAGTGCACCAGATGGTCCTTATGCATGGGGATACTGCTTTGTTCGGGAACAAGGCAATCCACCTGATTACTGCGTTGCAAATAATCAATGGCCGTGCGCTCCTGGTAAAAAATACTTTGGTCGTGGCCCCATCCAAATTTCATAGTAAGAACTCCTCTCTCTTTGCAGAAAACATGAATTTTTTATTTAATTGGTTCTAAATATGTTGATTCAAAATTTGAAGTATCATATTTAAAAATAAAATTTAATTGGAAAATGATTTTCAAAATTAATAGTCTAAGCCCAATAGCCTAACCAAATCATAGCTTATAATATTCCGTGAGTCCAACATTCCACATGATTAATTGGCATTGCCCAATTCAATCTGGTTCTAATTGAATGTTCATTTAATCACCCACTTAATTGGTAGAGAAGAGGGATGGACCTACATGTATGTGAGGGGCCAATTGTGGCCCTTGAATTTTTTTTTTTTTTTTAGTAATATACCCTTGTTATTTTGTTTTTTTTTTAAATTATATACCTATAAAAGATTATTTTTGTCCTTCTAAAAATATAAAAAAATTTCATTATTACCCTCCTCACATCATTTTTGACTCTTTCCCTATAAAGAAGTATTTAATTTATGCTGACCAAGTTATTGACTTTGATCACAACTGGCAGCAACTACAACTATGGTCCAGCAGGAAAAGCCATAGGGTCTGATCTGTTAAACAATCCAGACTTAGTTGCAACCAACCCAACCATATCATTCAAGACTGCACTCTGGTTCTGGATGACACCACAGTCACCAAAGCCGTCGTGCCACAATGTCATCACCGGAAAATGGACGCCTTCTGCTGCAGACAATGCAGCGGGTAGGGTACCGGGCTATGGAGTCATCACCAACATCATAAATGGTGGAATCGAATGCGGAAAAGGCGCGAATGCTCAGGTGCAGGACCGTATTGGATTTTACAAGAGGTACTGCGACATATTGGGAGTGGGATATGGCAACAACCTGGACTGCTACAACCAGAGGCCTTTTGCTTAGGCATTTGATCATTAACAGTTCCAGTTAACTGGTCACTTTTTATAATAAAATAAATCAAAGTTGATTACTGAATGTATGCAGTATGCTGTAGCTTCAAGAATAATCAATCAACTTTTTTGTATCCAGATGATAGGGTGCTAATATATATATATATATATATATATTTTAATCAATGAAATTTTTAGTTTCTCTTTTTTACGTGGACTCGATACAACTGTGCTTTTTTAAAAAGTGGATTCATCTATCCTATGACATTAGAAATTGGGACACGTCTCTCTAAATAGACTTGAATGCTTGGTTAACAACAGAACCGTTTGACTACTGGACTTTTTAGATTTTGAACATTCTTTCTATTTGATAAGGGTATTCAGAACTTAAATAGAAAATGATTTATAAAGTAAGATAGATTATTGGTTCAATTAAAAATTTATGAGAGGAATTTATTTTAAATGTATACAAGAACAGTTGGATTGAGTGGTAATTATTATTATTATTGTTAGGGTTAAGTGTAAAAAATATTCTCAGTATATTCAAAATGGGCAAGAAATCTCTGTTGTTTCAATTTGTGCAAATAAAGACATTGCCATCAATTTAACAATTAAAATGTCTAAAATACCCCAATAAAAGAAATAAAAAAATGTTTTCTCTCTTCTCTATTTCTCTCCATGCATCCCTCCCTTTTCGGGAACAATTTTTCGGATCACTTTCATATTTGTTGACAACTATCACCACCAGAGAGAGAAAGTGGAGCAACCTAAACCCCGTGAAGCCTTGAGCAAATGAGATCCACTTCAAAGGAAAAAAAAAAAACCTAAACCCATTTCAGTTCCAACTTATCAATCACCATTTTGAAAGTCAACCAACAGTGAGCTTCTAAGCTCTACATGAACGGATCTAGGAGTGGGCTCAAGCCCACCAAAAAAAAAAAAAATTTCTTTTTTACTGTACCTAATTTTAGCCCCGCCAAATAAAAAATAATAATATTATTATTATTAGCTTATCCAAAAAAATATTAATCCATTCCATTAATAATTCCTGGATTCATCCTTGGCCTATGCCCACCTAGCTGATCCAAACGATGAAGACAACCAACAACTCCAATCTTCAAGCTAGAAGCTTCGGCAACTACAAGCTCACACGCTTGCGTTGACACTCCAAGTTCCGGTGACAGCCATATCCACATAGGTGATCCAAATGGCGAAGAAAAACCAACGGCACCGAATAAAACATCAGAGCAAAATGATACAAAAAAGGATTGCTTGGGTAGGACTTAAGGACTTTGAGTTAGACAATTAGCTCAGAAATTCCGAATAAAGAGACACCACTGTTGACCATTCTACATCAATCAAAGCATTGAGACGCAGCTTCTAGACATTGTCTTCCTTATCATTTTGGCCCTTTAATACACGCGTCACTAAAATGACGAGGGGTTTTACCATTCAACACACACACACACAGTGACACAACACACAAAAACATTATCTTCCAGCTGCCTAAAGTTTCTAAAGTACACGTATACCTTTAAGTTTTTTTTTTTTTTTTTGAAAGATAAAATTGCATTAATAAAGGAAAGATACACTGTCCCAAAGAAAGTTAGCCAAAAGCTAACAGGACCAATGATACAGAGGCCCAAAAGACTAGCAGCCCCAGTTGGCCAAACAAAACATAAGAATGTTAACAAAGCCGTTGCAGGCAAAACAAATTTTCCGGTGAAAATTTCACTAATATCACTACAAAAACATTCTGGTCATCATCAAAACTCACTTTTCTCTCCTGGTTTTTTTTTTTTTTTTTTTTTTTTTTTTTTTTCAAAAATTCAAAATCAAAATACCTTTGAACACTTGAGGTTCTGAGACACAAAACTGGACACAGTATGATCACATGGTTACATGCACACATAGACAAAGAATTGTAAAAGCCGCCATGCATGACCTGATGGCTACATCCCTAGTTCACAACAGCATTCTTCATTCACTGCTTATAAATACCAATCTATCCTCTCTATAAGCTCACAAGCTTGAGTGAGAAAATAAGATAGAAAAGAAAAGAAAAGAAAATGAGGTATTTTGCAGTACTAGTTGTGTTCTCTCTTTTCTTCATGGTAACGTCCTTGCAGGCACAAGGACAAGATGTTGGTTCTCTCGTTAGCAAAGCACTGTTTGATCAGATGTTGAAGCACCGCAACGACGGCAACTGCCCCGCCAAGGGTTTCTGCACCTACGAGGCTTTCATAGCTGCTGCCAATTCCTTTGGAGGTTTTGGAACAACCGGAGACGCCACTACACGTAAAAGAGAGATTGCAGCCTTCTTGGCTCAAACTTCACATGAAACTACAGGTAATCTTCTTAATTTGCTTTGTAAAAAATTAAGTCTAGTATTCAGGAAATTAGTTTAAATCATAACCCTTAATTAGTTGTTTAATAAGTATCATTAAGATCGATCACTAAGGTCTTGTACATTTTTTTTTTGTTTCTTACATAGACGTACATATATAGAGCCTAATTGTTTTTTCTGCAGGTGGAAGTGGGTGGCCTGGTGCACCAGATGGTCCATATGCATGGGGATATTGCTTCGTCCGGGAAAGAAACGAACCGGACTATCCCTGTGACTCGAGCAAGGGGCCATGCCCTCTCGGTAAAAAGTACTTTGGCCGAGGACCCATCCAACTCACTCAGTAAGTTTTTGATTTCTCTTGCCAGCATCGACATTTTGTTTGGACTCGTTTCGAAATTGAACTCAAACTCAGCTGGTTTGTTTAGTTTAACGAACAAGTCTTAACCAAATCAATCCGAACATTTTTTGTTCCATCCGAATTCATTTGTAGCCTTACTTGTGAAATTGACTTTGACCATTGCTTTCTTGATATTTTTTCAGCAACTACAACTATGACAAAGCAGGTAAAGCTATTAAGGCGGATCTCATAAACAACCCGGATCTGATAGCCACAGACCCAATCATATCATTCAAGACTGCCATTTGGTACTGGATGACCCCACAGTATAACAAGCCCTCGAGCCACAATGTCATCACCGGAACATGGAAACCGTCCGATGCGGATAGGTTAGCTGGCCGGGTCCCGGGTTACGGTGTGATCACCAACATAATCAATGGCGGGTTAGAGTGTGGCAAAGGTCCAAATGATGAGGTGGCTGATCGGATTGGATTCTACAAGAGGTATTGTGACATACTTGACCCATGGCAACAACTTGGATTGCTACAATCAAAAGCCTTTTGGGCCATAAATAGCTCATATGTAAAAGAATTGGATTACAAGAATATTAGTTATGTCTAGCTAAGTAAAATAAATGGATGGATAGACCACGCTATGTAACTCTATCCAAATAAAGAGAATTTTAGAAGAAGTACTTATTGTATTCTCAGTTTGAGAATTTGTAGTTTTTCTGTAATTTTGTTTCTCTTCATCATGGTGAAATTTTGATTACGTAAATTTGTCTATTTACTTTGTTTTTATTTATTTATTTATTTTTGTTACTTTTTCTCGACAACATTTCAGTATAGAATTTTATATTCCCAACAAATCCAGCTTGGAGGTTAATATTGTAGTGTTTGTGTGAATGATTCTTGTATCTTACTTTCCTCATTTGTATCTGAACTATTGGTGCTCTAAGAGGACACCACTTTCGTGGACAAAAATATATGTATAAATTAACTAGATAAAAATTCATGAGTGTTAAAGTTTGAGAGAAGAGCAAATATAATAATGAGGCCATACCTTTTGTCGAATATCCCCACATCATCAACTAGAAAACCAGAATTAATTATGGAAACCAATAAGGAGTTCGTTTTTGTATTGATCTTTAAGTAAACTAGGTTCAGAAACAAAAACCCAGATTTAAAAAGATAATTCCTAATATATAGGGTGTTAAATCCATTTTGGATGTAAATAACTCAATTCAACGTTTAATTGAAGAACAAATTAAGCATTTATCAAATTTATTACTAAATGTTGAGCACTTAATTTTTATTTTTTAAATTTTAAAATATTAAAAAATATTTAAGAACTTGAGCACTTAATTTTTATTTTTTATTTTTATTGCAAGAACACTTCAAATTCAACTCTTAAAATCAATAATTATTGTTAAATAATTTACTTCTTAAAAATTTCAGTACTTAATTTTCAGATTATCTTAATTTAGAATTCAGGATGGTTAAAAATGGGAAAAACTAAGCCGAACTTAAAGTCATAATGGGCTCATCCAAATGAGCCCAAACTAAATTAAACTGGAGCTTCAAAGGGTCTTCGGGTCAGGGTATCCATATTGTACATGTTGTGTAATTAAGTTGTGCTTAACATGAGTCAAAATCCAGGGTAGTGTTCAACAAGATGGGTCATAGAGTCAAATATTTGTGGTCCACTGGGTTGTTAGGCCTGTTTTAGATAACCCAGTTCAGATGGGCCACCATAAGAGAATTATAGTATATACCCATATTCTATAATAAACTTTGTGCCTGAACTTAACTCCATATACAATATTAAGCTGGGATAGCTTTTTTTTACAATAATGCTAGTTTTGTTACATAAAATCATTACAATTTTCTTACTTACGCATATAATATGGTGAATAGAGATTAGAAAATAAGAAAATAGTGGGATCCATGCAAATTATTACAGGTGATTGTTACTCTCATCGGTATTTAATAAATTTGTGAGATGTATTAGTAACGAATAATGATAAGCTAGTCGAAATGGCCAGCGGAGGAGATTGAGTCGGGGGGGGGGGGGGGCGCTCTCATCTCATTTTTCATTAAATAAAAATTTGGGTTGTGAAGAGTTAGGAAAGATGAATTTGACTTCGAGGTCAATTACTTTGCATATAATAACAAAAGTCAGGTATATGTAAAGGAAATTATTGCTTGGTGCACGTGGTTTGTGGGGAGCTGTGTGTCTTGAAGTAGATTAGTTTCATCCGTAAAGATATAAGGATACCTCTCTGAAAAAAAAACAAAAGAAAAAGCAAATTATAGCTAATAATGAGACCTCTCTACAAAGAATTGAAATATACATGCATGTAAACTATGAGTTGCTTAAAGCTTTCCTTTTTATAATTTTTTAATTAAAGGTGTGCATTATCATTATTAAAACCAATTGTATATATAACTGAATAGGCTTAGGGAGATTGAATGTTCAAATCCTACTAAGAATATGTGGATAATGAGTGTATATTTACTTTAACA